CAAGTTTTTACCAGTAACTACCTTTAGAGGTTATCCATTTTATTAGGAGCTCATTAAAACAATGAGAGTCAGTAGTGCACCAGGGTGAACAGTTTTGCAGTTCGCCGCGTGAGGTTCGTGGTGTCACAGGTTGTTTGTTTACATCACAGATGCAAACTTCGGTTGTTTACAATAACATACAATACGTAGCAGTACTATCAAAAAATTATCTGGTATGATGTTTAATCTACGGTATTAATAATTTATACGAGTTGATGTTGACTTAAATGTGTCTCTCTGTAGACCTGACGAATTTTAATTGATATACCGATAGAATATACGGTACCTACCAGTGTGTGTAGAAAGTTATTTGGTATACAACGCTTAAAGAATGAAATTGCGATTAGTGTCTCAATATACAGATAGTGGTTGTTATATAGGAATAAAGTGTCTCTGCCGACACTTGAGTTTGAACATAGATCGCCAGTGAGAAAACACATGCGATCCCATTATTGAATTAAGTGGATCATGTATCCATGGGAGAAACGCATAAGTAGGAGTAGCGTGACGTCTAAACGATCGCTATTTCTACTCTAACCTCTATTCCTATACGGACCGCTATTCTCTACTCTATTCACTATAATATTTTTTATTCCGATCACTATACAGATTACTATTTCAGCGAGTATTATCGAGCAAGTACCATTAGTGCGAGTGTTATTCTAAGGCGTCTCACAGCAGCATTGTTCAACGGAGTACTATAGTTGTACTGCAATTATAAAGCCTCTACGACAACGATAATTTCGAAAGCGACAACGACGACGACCACCACCACCACCACACGCTCGCTACGGTTAGCCGCACCTACGAGGACAAATCAGTCGGGCTGGACAGTCGTGCAGACGAAATTTGTCTTTCGGAAACACATCGAACGACGCTGTGGAGACATGATTGATTCGGATGATTCAGGGGAGGTTCTGTTATATTCTGTCTTACTCACGTTGCAATAGGGACCTACCTGATTCGTTGCTTGCTCGAGTGATAGCAGCAAGGTTTCTGCATCTTTGATACATTGAGAAATAATCGGCAAATTCAAGGTCAGTCAGGTGGAGTTATGGAGGGTACAAAAGGAGTCCTTTTCCCATCATGTTGTAGAGAGAAATACGCAGAACATATTCCAAAACAACTATAAAGAGAAAAGGAGCAAGTATGTCGCCTTCTAGAACTCCTGATTTAACTTCAAAGGAATCAGTCTCGCCAACAGGCGATACAATGTTGGCAGTGGTGTTTCTGTACAAAAATAAACAATTACATCAACAATTCTGGAGAGTATATCATAGAACATGAAATGTTACTTGATGGGATCAAACGTCTTGAGAAATTCAGCAAGACAGATTCTGACAGCTTTGTTGAATTTTTCACCTCTTCTGGTATGCGGTGAATAGAGTGTATTTGCCTACCTGTCTCTTCGAAATCCATTCTTTTCTTTGCTGAGGAGTGGATCGATGGTAGAGACAAACCTATCGAGCAGAAGCTTATTGTAAATTTTTGTTGCATTTGTCATGAGAGTTATACCCCTATAGTTTGCCGCATTTGAAGCAGGGACAATTCAACCTTTCAGCCAGGTTGAAGGCGGCGAAATTTGAACGGATGTGCGGTTGCAAAACTCAAGGAGGAGGTCATGAAATATTGGATCTTTCCACAATAATGTTGGTATGTTGTCAAGATTTGGAGATTTGTTGTTAGCAAAATCCTTGAGTGTTGTTTTGAGTTCATCGAGCGAGAATGGATTCTATGTTTATGTCCAGTGTGTTGGGTATTTAATGTATTGGAATTGAAAGACGAATGACTTGCGGTGCTTCTCCCAGGAGTTTCTTAAAATGGTCAAACCAGTTAGCTTTACGCTTTTCAGTGGAACCGCCATTGAGCTGAATGGAAGGCTTGATTTTCTTCCTGTGAGAATGTTTATTGTTTTCCAAGCTGAAGCATGTTTTTTCTCTTTATGTAGTCTTACAATCTTGTCGATCTCCCCTTGGATATACTCTACGTTTACATTGGCACGAGCCTCGTCTGTATCCTTTCTGCTTTAGTGATATCTTTAAAAATACGTATAATTAGCTTATGATCTTAACGATTCTTAATATCTAAAACGAAGGAGTGTCTCAAAATTCTGTATGATTATAACTTGGCCCAATCGAAATGTTTCATAAGGTCTGGTACTGGCGGTTTGGATGACCTTAGGCTAAGGGTAACATGTATGAAAACAACTCTATGATCCGAACCAACAGAAGTGAAGGACGATTATGGCTGGGCATTAGGAACACTGTTCTTTCACTTGTTTCTTCCGATGATGTAATCAGTTTGTGATCGATATCCGGATAGATGGACAGACGGTTTGGATGCTTCATGAACCTCGTGTTTGTAATTTGGAGTTGGAACTCTTGAGCGAAGTCTGTCAGCTTTTCCCCGTTTCGATTACTTTCATTATTATATGTGAATGGATCAGCCTCCTTCCCTATATGACCAATGAAATCTCCTGAGATAACGAGGAAATTGTGGTTGTGAACACTTTCTGTTACTCTTTTCAGATCGGGGTAAAACTCATCGTCTATTTTTTCGTCAGTTGTAAATTATTATATATATATATATATATATATATATATATATATATATATATATATGTTATATATATATATATATATATATATATATATATATATATGTTAAATTGAGCTCAATATATATATATATATATATATATATATATATATGTCTTATATAAAAAAATACAGTGTATGTGTGTGTTTCTGCGTGTGTGTCCAGCAAAAGCAACTCCTCCGCGCCCACTGGTCTAATTTCAATGATTCATAGCTCATTCAAAAGCCCTAGAAAAGTTAGGCGCAGGTAACGATTTTCGCTTAGCTCAAATTCAGCGTTACCAGATTGTACGGGTTTAAAAATATATATTAATATATTATACTAGCCATTATCGTTGCTTTCATGGTTCAAGGGAAGACAAACCTATTTTCCTTTTGTATCCAAAATTGCAGCTAGCTTAATATTTGAAGCCAGCTAAAATTTGAAGCTAACTTAAAAGCCGTCTTATCTGCATTTATGTATTTATTTAATTTACCTTTTAAAAGTTCAACGATAATTCTTCTTCTGCTACTTACATTAAAGACGATTTCATGTACGTAGATCCTTATTTTCCGCGCAAACAATTATTTTCATTTCATGGGTGATAGAACTGTGGACAGACTTTAAGATAAAATTAATATTGTGAAAAGATGGAAAAATAGAAATTAGAATTAGAAATACATTCAGCATCTGAAAAGTTAGAGAAACATAATAGCTAATTAAGTAAGAATCTATATGAATTTATGTTAAATTGGAGCTCAATTCTCCTCCGAATTCTAAGATGAAAAATGTTAAGCTCTTTATCTGTATTACGCATTATTACTGTATTACTTCCAGGCAATAAAACTCTTCATGTTTAATTAATTTGCATGTTGATTTTAAAAAAGCTTATTTCAGTAATTAACTGTCCATCATTACTGTTCGAGGATTGTTTTGATTTTCATATCAAAAATAGTTCTGTTTAGAAATATCGTCATACATAGTGCAGCAAAGTGATTGAAATTTGCATTTTAGCATCTATATTTAAAACTTCTCTTAAATATAACAAGACAATTTATGAATGAAAAGTTCATTTAAAATTTTTGTTTCAAAGATTTCAAGTAATGAATATATCTTGCTTTGCAAATCTTGGTAGTATATATATATATATATATATATATATATATATATATATATATATATATTATACATTTCTCAAATGTTTTGACCTTAATTCACATGTTATGTCAGGAAAATCGCTCACCTGTTACTGTTCTTTTATTCGAGGATTGTTTTGATTTTCATATCAAAAATAGTTCTGTTTAGGAATAACGTCATATATACTGCAGAAGAGTGATTGAAATTTGAATTTTAGCATCTATTTGTAAAACTTTTCATAAATATAACAATACAATTTATGAATGAAATGTTCATTTAAAATTTTTGTTTCAAAGATTTCAAGTAATGAATATATCTTGCTTTGCAAATCTTGGTAGTATATATATATATATATATACATTATTAGTGACACTACTAAATTTCTTCCTCTTGGTCCAGTAGAGACACATGATCAGCTGTTGGCTAAGCGTATCTCGTCAGCCGTCCATGACTGTTTTTACTCAGCTCAATTAATTGTTCATTTTGCGACTCAGTCTGCCTTTCCTTCTATGCGCAAGGATACTCTTCCCCCATCATATATATATATATATATATATATATATATATATATATATATATATATATATAAAAGAAATATGTTGTAGTGGTTCCAACGAGAGAAAAGTATGTATATTAAAAAGAAGAGAGGTGCCGCAAACGTTTTTGGTTGTAATGTGGATTTATTTAGAAAAAATATTATGCTTTGTTTTACATAATTTTACTACGACACGTGTTTCTGGTCTAGAAATTCTAGAAAGAAATTCTAGAAATTCTAGAAAGAAAATTCGGATTGCCAACACACAAACAGAGAATGTCTCATATCGAGAACATTTCACATTGAACATAAAGAAAAATTAATTATTTTTAATAATATGTAGAAATCTCCACTTTTACCTGAAGACGGTCGAGAGACCAGAGACACGTGTCGTAGTAAAATTATGTAAAACAAAGCATAATATTTTTTCTAAATAAATCCACATTACAACCAAAAACGTTTGCGGCACCTCTCTTCTTTTTATATATATATATATATATATATATATATATATATATATATATATATATATTTCTCAAAATGTTTTGACCTTAATTCACATGTTATGTCAGGGAAAAATCGCTCACCTGTAAATTACGTAATCGTAATAGCAAAGAAAACTAGGTTACTACGCCTTAAACTGCAATCGAAGTGTCTGGTATGCACATTGACGGAGAGCGTTTCTTTAGATGATAGATTAAATATATGACAATCTCTTTGGATTATCGAAAGTAGCAAAAGTGACCTTATTATTTTCTATCAATTGCCTACATAAAAAGGAGAACATTTTTCACTGGGATCTTCAAATGGCATCATTTGTCTCGCATATTTTGCTATTTTATTTTCTTTTTTTTTAATTTTACATTTACTTCGTTTTAATTTAATCTTTTATTTTCTAAATTTTCATTTTATTGCTTTCATTCAATATACATGAACAAATATGAAACATTATTAAGAAAAATTTCATCCGTACTTAGAAATAAATTCAGTTTTCATTGTTATGTAGTGTTCTTTTCTTACGTCTCTCGTATATGGATCAAATCAACAAGTCCACTTCCTATGATTTCCCTGGATTTTTTGGATTGTTAGAATAATTCTTATTTTTGTGCGTGAATAAAGTATTAACAATTTTATTGGAGATAACAATTCTTTAGATTAGAGATTAAAAATATTACAATCTCTTTTCATTATCCATTGTAACAAAAGTGAACTGATTATTTTCTATCAACTGCGTAAAAAGAACGACTTTTTCACTGGGATCTTCAAGTGGCTTCATCTTTCTCGTAAGTGTTTATTTTTTACATCTACTTTGTTTTAATTTCATCTTCTTTTATTTTCTACATTTTCATTCAATATTTAACATTAACAAATATAAAATATTTCTACAAAAGCTTTTACACATATTTAAGGAATACTTAATATTTTTGCTTAAAAATAAAATCAGTTTTCATTGATTGATTTTATTTTTAAAAGGATATATAGTTTAGTCAATGGCATAACCAGTTCCAACAGTACATACGCTAATTTTATATCTCGTGTATGATGCGACGCCCTTAAATTTAAGTTCAAAGTTAAGTCTTCAAAGTTGCCTAATACGCGAGTATATACGGTAATCCTTTTACTTCAAAGTTTAATATGAACAAATATGAAATAATTTTACAAACTTTTTTTTGCACATACTTAAAGAACACAATATTTTAGCTTATTAATAAAATCAGTTTTCATTTGACTGATTTTATTTTTAATGTTTTTTTCTTACGTCTATCGTCTATCAATGAATATTTTCATTCCTATATTTTTCCTGATTTTGTAAAAACGAACGATTTATGCAGCTAAAAATTTATTTTGTTTTTTACATATTCTTTTTTCTACATGCTCCTTTTACAGCATTCATTTGATTATATAACACGAACTTCTACTAAACATTTCTTCTCCGTTATAACAATCATCAAAAGATAATTACTCCAAATGCATGCATTTAAACGTGCTACTAGGTTGTCAACTTGACCCCGCCCTTTTATAGTCGAAACAGTTAAATGTAACCGACTCTTCTACTTCACCAGCTTCTTTTCTCGTACTTTTCGACACTTCCTCCTACTTGCTTCCTTGATAGCTATAATGTTCAAATATTCAATCAACATCTTCTGATGCTTTGATCCTGATCCCCGTCCGTCTCTTTATCCTTTCCTCAAACACCCCTCTTTACTCTTGCTCTCATTTTCTATAAACACTTGCTAGTGGCACACCCGCCTTGCTTATGGTGAAATGCTTAATAAAAAATACAAGCCATCTCTAATTATTCTACTATAGCACATCATTTCAGTTTATCTCATCATAGTATAAAACAATGTTACATTCCTCTTTCTAACGTCTTCTTTTAATTCACAAAACAGCCGAAGTAAAGTTGAAATAAATTAAATTCTCAAACTTAACACCATAATTTGGGATATAGTATAATCCTCGGAATTTTTAGTAATTAAACTTTTTTTTTAAAAAATGATAAGTAAAACGTTTTTGTCAAATTTTAATACCTAAAAAAGGACATGACTATATTTGTGTACATTTTTATAGGTTTCATTCCTCTATGCTACTATTTTCATTACTGTTTTCCGACTGTATATGCATTCACATAGATGCTTATTTATTGCATATTTATTTAGAGATTCTGATTCTCAGTGTAGCAATGGATTGCGGTTCATATTGAGCCGAGTACAAATTCGAATTACAGTCGGACTAGTTTCTATAGCCTTGGGTGTCAAGTGGGTCTAAGTGTAGGTAAATAATGGGCTAGTCTGGGTCCCTGTATCTACGGTTCGCATGAGAACTAGAAGGACAACTCTGAATTCAAATCTAGATCCGATGTTATGTGTTGTTCTGACAACTCCTGCGATAATATTGGTACCAAGTTCTATTAGCCTCTACCTTTCCCTTGGATGTCATCGGTGACTTGGTGAGGTGAGGCGCGCTGCATGGACAAATGCTGATCCCCCATAAAAAAAAACATGGGCGCAGATCCAATGGTATCTCGAGACTGACGGATGGCAATACAAACAAATTCTTTTTCTTATTTCTTTTCCCTTACTACTACTGCAGTCACATAGTAGTATAATATCATTATAGTATTTTATAGTCGTCATTATTATTATTATTATTATTATTATTATTATTGACGTCATCATTCTTACCAGCTTATCGTCAGATATAATACATAC